TTCCTGCTTCCAACCTGATTTCAGACCATGGGAACAAACCAGACTTTCCATCAGGGCTCACCATCCCAGCCTGGCTCTGCTGAGGTGTTCAGCATCAGGTCTTGCTGATTTATTTATTTCTCTTGTCTGAGTGTTCTGGAGTGGAGCTTGTTCTCTGATCCAGGGATCCCTCATCCAGGACAACCAGTCTGGCAGAGTCTGGGGAAAAAGAATGAGAACAATTACCATACAGGGGAAAAAAAGACCTACATATTTAATTCATCTCCAAGTCAGCTTGGCAGAAATGAGGCTTTTATTTACACGCATGTGCACATCCATATATACAGTATGAATAGTATATAATTTATAAATGTTATCATAATATGTAAACAAAAATCTTACGTATTTCACTATAACTGCATATATGGATTTTATATAGGGGTATAAAATGGTAGTTGTGGTGGAAGAGGCAGCAATCTAAAGGGAAAGATACTAAAAGGAAAGTTAAATGAGAGTGCTGCCTGAATCAAGTGTGACGGGGCTCTGGTCTCCTGGGAGGGATGTCTCTATTTCCCTGAAAGCCTAAACAAACACCATGACACTAATGTGCTGCCTTCATTTATTAATTCACTGATCTATTTATTAATTGATTGTTTTTCTGCCTTGTTGTTTTGTTTTGTTTCTTTGCTTTTAGTAAAGAGTATCCGGTTGTTCCCAGAAGCACAGTGAGACAAAAAGTGTCCTCGAATCACAGCCCCTTCAGTGGCGAGACCAGGGTCCTTTCTGCCTCCTCCAACCTGGGCTCCCAGTACCAGTGTGAGAACGGGGTGTCGAGCACCTCCCAAGACCTGCTCCCGCCTGCCAACCCCTACCCGATCTCCCAGGAACACAGCCAGATCTACCACTGCACCAAGAGAAAAGGTCAGACCTTGGCTGCTCCCTGCTTTCCCCTTCCTAACGTGACTGTCAACCTTGTTTTCCCTTGCTCACAGGCTGGGCAGCCCCAGCCTGCTTTACGGTGACGCCTGAGAATGAGCAAGGGATGAGGATTGTGCACTGGAGGTGGGCAGCTCCCTCAGCCCGGGCTGGGAAGCTCATCTCGCTGGTGTTAGCCCAAAACCCAATCTCTGCTGCTGGGCTGGGAGCGAGCTCTTTGGAGGGGTGGCAGTACCTTTCCCCCACGCTGAATCCACATTCAGTAAGATAGCTGGTGCTGGAGATAAAGATGACTTATCTGTCTCCACAGCCCCTCAGACAGCATTAATCTCCAACTGGAGATACCTTGACAGCTCAGGTTTTGCAGTTTTCAGCGATGAGTCTCACAGCTGGGAGACGGTCGCCTGAACGCAGAAAGCAATTCCACTTAAATGTTTGGTCTAATGAACGGGATATGGGATTGCAAATCATGATATCCATGTTCGTTCCCCTCTGGTGCAACTGACCTGCTTTGACAGAGCTTGAGGGATCAAACTGTGAGGGCTTTACACTGATTGCTCAGCTCGTCCTGGCGTGAAGACCATGATATCGATGGGATAATTGTTCTCAGGCAGGAGTCAGCGGTTTGCAGACTCTTCCTTCCTCTTCCAAAGCAATGGGAATGCTGAGATGCTGAAACACTTGCAGGACTCAGACAGAAAAAGCCTCAGATCAGCTCCACCCTAGATATTCAGAAGAAAATAGGGAATTCCCGAGGCTGAATGCAACCCTGTGGGATGGGCAGGAGATGGTTACTGCCTACTCCTGCTCCCCATTCTTAACGTTTAGTCTACATTGCACGGGAAAAGCTAACAGGAGTCAGCATGCACCATGGCATTTGAATGCACCAAGAATTTCTCCAGCACAGTAACCTCTCCCCACAGCAAATCCCTTCCTGCTTCCCCGCACGGTCCTATCAGTCAGCCACATGTCATTATTTTTAGTAACGTAACCCCTGGGGCACTGGGATGTGCAGTGTAGACACTCAGTCTAAGGTAGCGGATGCTGGGAAGTGCTGGCAGATGAGGCAGGAGGGCAGTGGAAATATCCCTCACATCCTTGGTGAATCCCTTGAATGTTGTAAGAGCACATGTGTGATGTACAAGTATATATGCAAAACCAAAAAAGGTGATAAGTGTTAATATTTTCCTGAGGTTGAGCCAAACAGTGAAAACCAGAGGCATCATTTTCTGGCCCCTCCAGTTGACCAGGCAACCCTTGTACTCATATAGAGTGTATCGAGTCTGTGGTTGGAAGTGGTGATCCCAGACCTGAGCTGGCTGTAAGGTAGGGAGTAAGGAGTTGCAGTGGACCCCCAGAGTGTCCTCTAAGGTCAGAGGTGGGTTGTGTGACCCTTGCTACCCCTGTGCTGGTATGGGAGGGAGAGTGGGTGGCTTTGGGACACAGCTGGATTGTTGCAAAGCTCTGCTGTTGGTGATGGAAAAACAAGTCACGATCGCCCTTGGCATCCCTCAGCCTGGGATCCGTCCTCGGTGCTCCTTTGCCCTGGGAGCTGAGCTTTCACCGCTCCTCTTCCCCTTTGCAAAAACTAACCAAAACAAGCTGGCCCAAATGGCAACAAACCCTTTGGACAATCTCTGACTGCTGCGTGTCCCCGCAACACAGGGCAATTCATCATTCGCCTCCACACTGTAACTTGATAAGGAATCAACAGAGGTTTCCTTCCAGTTTTGGGATTCCTGCTAAGTGGTGTCTCCATGGGTGGTTTCCCTCAATCCCCCAATTATCTCACTTCCTCTTATTGTCACAAAAGAGACGACTATCTGCCCTGTAATAAGCTCCCCAGCCCCTTTTGGCCCTTGCAAAAGTGCAGGAGACTGGCAAAGCCAGTCCTTGTCTGTAGGGCTGATGGCCCCTCATTATCTCCACCACGGCTTGAGTGGCACAAGCAGTTAAGGGCCTTTTATCAAAGCCGCCAAATGCTTTAATCAAAGAGAAGCAGTGTCCTGTCCGATACCACCGGCTTCTTCTCTGAAGCAGTATGCCTCAGGAACCTCTCCTTTCCTCCCTGTGCCTTTTTCCTCCTCCCCGTGCATCTAGTAAATCGAAAACAGCCACCAGGGCTTAAAGAAAAGAAACACAAAGTTAATGGGAAACAGAGAGCCAACATAAGCTGCCAAGCAGCTCTTTGCAAAGTGAAATTAATTAAAAAAAAAAAGTCACTAGAGATGAGCAATTCTGTTCAGATAAACCAGGATGTGATCCAAGGTTTCGGCTCCAACACTGAGCATGACACTTTCTTCTAGCACCAAGCAAGGATCTTTACTGAACTTGGGAAAATAACCTTACCTATAACGTTCTTCTTTTTCTTCTGTTTCCAGCCTCTCCTTTCTGAGTGCTATATTCTTTCCCTCACAGCTCTCCTGCTTTCCTACTTTTCTGTATGACTTTCAACAAGTCTCACCATCTAAGAAAACATGAAAGCAAGAGCGTGTTCACTCCTAACGCACCTCTGTCCATTTTCTGGGCTGGAAGTTTCTATGGATTTCATTGGATCATCAACTCCCCAAACACTGACTCCTCTTCAGTCAGTTTGGGATTTATCTCAAGCAGATTATTTCCTTTTCACAGGGCTGTGGTTACGGATAAGTGCTCGCAGCGGCAGAGGGCGATTCTGCTGGGTTTGAGACCAGCTGGTGTCTGTATCTTCTGTAGCGAACACCATCACTGTTTTCCAAGGCAGTCTCTCAGATACGGCTCCTTCCAGCTTTGACATCTCATGATGTTTCTCTGCATCCTCTCTAATCAGGAGGTCAAGTCTCGGTTTAGGCTCAATTAAGAACGGGTCTGTATTCGAGCAACTCGAAGTCACCTTAGTCAACTTCTACTTCCTTGGTCACCTAAGACAATTTAGCTCTGTGGTTGACAGTGTTGTTCTTAGCTGTCAAGTCAAGATGGATTCACTCTGGAGATCTGATATGGAGTTACATTAGGGGAGAGCAGCAGGGCTGCGAGGGGAGGTTATCTCTGAAGGCTCCTCGGTTTCAGGGAGGTGATGCTCATCTGGGTGAGGAAGGAAGGAAGAAAGGAAGGAAGGACACATTCCAGAGCCCCAGGTCTGGCAATTTCTGGTGTGTATGTTGGGAATGCAGGGTCACAGCATTGGGAATGACCCCAGCGTGGTGCATTGGGGCTGCTGCTCCTGATGCCTTCTGAAAATGCTGAATGCTGGGGAATGGCAATCCTCAAGGCGAGAATCATCCTGTGCTGTATCCCAGCTCCACACTGAGACTGATTATGGCATTTCACAATGTCACTGGTCTTGAGAGGATGGATTAACTCTAATTCTACATCCTACACAAGAGTGGCCTCGATTCTTGATGTGGATTTTTAGGCTGCAACAAAGACCAGTTAGAGCTTTGTCTTTTTTCCTAGTGGTTCTCCACCTCTCCCCCTCTCATTGTTGTGCTTGGAGAAGCCCAAAAAGGCTTACCAGCAGGCAGCTTGCTTTCTGTCTTTCATTTTAGCCCTGTGTCCCAGTTAGGGCATTGGGGCTTGATTTCCCTTGTGTTATCCTCTCCCTCAGACTTCCTGTGAACTAAAAAGCCATCCCTCTAAACCTCTCCTCCTTCCCAGCCTTACACAATCTCAACCACTTGGCAGATTTCTGGGATGCTTGTGATGCTGAACAGGAGGCGACTGGAACAGCCTCTCCCTGGGGAGGTTATAAAAGTTGTCATGTTGGCACTCTGAGGGAGAAGAGGGACTTGGCAGAATCCACCGGCTCCAACCAGCGAGGACCTTATCCTTCAGCCACCTTCTTGGACATGACTCTGGCCATGGGGAAGAATATCTCTTTCATCTCCTTCCTGCTCTGATGAGGTCGGTGGAGATACAGCAACGCCTTTCACACCCTTCTCCTCAAGAATAGGCACTGTTAGGATGATTTCTCCCTCATCCCACACAGCTTTTCTTCCACCCAAAAAATCTGTAAGACAAAAGTCAGGCATGGGATGCCTTCTTGGAGGACATGCTGCTTGTACGCTGAAGTTAGGAGGTGCAGCAAATTGGGCAAGGGTTGAGCTGTGCTGCAGCTGGAGGTGTTTGCAGCTTGGGTATCACAGGATGGTTAGGGTTGGAAGGGACCTTAAATATCATCTAGTTCCAAACCCCCTGCCATGGGCAGGGCAGTTTCCACTAGAAAGTGGTAGATGCAGTGGAGCCCAGAGCAAGGTGGCTGCTGGTGCACTGGGGGTGAAGAAGAGCCTGCTTGCATGGTGGGGGCTGGTGTGCACCAGCTTTTGCTGTGCAGCCACATCGCTTTTGGCACAGTAGCTTCAGCAGCCTCATATAAGCATATTGCTTTCCCATCAGGAGGTGTCTCCTGTGCCTCTGCAGCCAGTGCTGACAACTCCCTGGCTCTAGAAGAGGTTCCAGCTTTTGGGGTTGGATTATCTCTGCCCCACAACCCTTTTTGTCATGTTCCCCTGCAATACAACACAGCCATACTGTAAGCCGTGCGACTGCTGAAGTAACTAGTGTGTCTTAGGTTTCATGTCCTAGGATGTGTGTCTTATTTCCCTTTAGGAATGTTCATTTTGATTGAATCTGCCTTTTATTCTTCATCAACCCTTGTCAGTCTTGCACACTGGTATTGGGTATTCAGGCTTATGCTAGATTCATACTAGAAACCAGACTGGATAAAAACCAGTGTTGGTGATAATCGCCCATTGTGTCTCCCTCACAAAGTCGGGATGAACCTACTGTAATGCCCTGGAAGTGTGGGTGAGCTTTAAAAACTGAAACAGTTGGGTCCCAGTCTTCATTGTCTGCTGTCCTGGGGAGCTGATTGTCATCAATTTGAAAGGAGGTCTCCTGATTTACATCAGGGGAAGAGGTGCGCCCAGTGCACCCTGAAGTCCAGAGATTTTACATGTTTGCATTTCATTCTGGATGGCCCTAGTCTTGGAATTGGGAAAATTCCATTTAAAAAGCCATTTGTGTGGTATTTACAACCCAGCTGGAAGTAGTAAATACCGGAAATCTTGGAACTGCTCATGCTCTCGCTCAAGCTCCTTCATTAGATAGATCATCAAATTCCTTGTGAGGGAGCCAGTTTCCACCCTATTCTGTAGGCTCCATTTTCCTTGGATCCACTTCGGAGCAACTTCTCCCAAGAGTTGGCAGCTTCCCCTGCTTGGCAGAACCTTTTGCTTTTTGAGGTTTGCGCAGTATCGAGGGGCTGGTCACAAGAGAAGATTGCCACTCTTGGCTTCCAAGAACAGCAACAAAAGCGGAGGACGGTCAGCATCTCCCAGGATGGTCAGCATCTCCCAGAGATGCCCAGCATATCCTAGGGCTCAGAGGCAACAGGAAAAGGATAATGAAGTGCTATCAGGTGTCCAAGAATCAAACCCAGAGCAGACCAGACGGTTATTCCTGTGTCCTGCTTATGCTGATGCTGAGGATTATGGCCTAGAGCAGGTGGGGATGAATTTAAACTGCAGCTTTCAGCATTGCATGAGAGCTCTGTCTGACTTGTTCTCCTTTAGCCATTCTCTTACTTGAAGATGTCCCCTTTCCATCCCCAGATCTGCTCCACATGCCATGTGGATGAACTTCACCTCCTCTGTGCTGGCTCTGGCCTCCTCTGCCAGGGGTGGTGGGACAATGACAGGTCAGACTAGAGAGCCTGGACCAGTGTAACTTCATCAGCTGGCAGCAGCTGTGGGTCTCTGGTCCACATCATCCCATCCAACGATGAAGGTGGACTGTTCTCTTCCCTCTCCAGCACTTTCAGGTTACATAGATGGGAAAATCATCACAAGGAGGGGCCAGAGGGCAGGCAGAAGCCATTAGGGCAGGCTGTAATCCTTTGTTAGCGACTATGCCTTCTTTGGAGATGGGTACGGTGTCCTTACACATATTAAAATCTGGAGTGGTGGTGCCCTTTCCACATAGGACACCAGTGAGCCTGGCTCTAGAGAGGTCAGCAGAGCGAACGCGAGAGCTAACAGAAGAGGTGGCACATGTAGGGTTTCCACTGAAACTCTGGTTGTTTTTGTTTTTCTCCCATCACCTGTGATGGATTCTGGAAGGGGATCCCTAACTGCGGCTTTGCCTGGCTGGGCTGTGGCAGGCAGTGAAATGTCTGGGCCCCATGGAAAAATCAGCAATCTCAGGTTGTAAGTCAGGCACATTTTTACACAACGGAAAAACAGAGTTTGACTGTTTTGTGTTGTATATTTAAAAAAAAAAAATAAAGTAAACAGTCAAACCCCAAGCCAATGATTCCTAATGCCAGCAGAGTAATGCGGTTTAATGCTGAAAACTTTATTAGCAGAACAATGCTTCATTTTACAAGACATTGTTTTTCCACCCTAGTGTTCTTATTACTCAGTGGTGGGTTAAGGATCCAAAACTTTTAGGCTGGCTGTAAAAGCCAGAGCTCAGGCTGTCCTTCCAGATGTAGGAAGGACAGTGACAGACCCATGTTCAGGACGGAGCTTAGCCCAGTGCTCCCAGCTTCCCTCTGTCCAGCGACCACCCGCTCCTATGTAAAATGAACCTGACCAGGAGGAAGGAGAGCGATGCACTAAGCATCTGTCTGCTTACAGTTTCAGCTGTTTTAAAGATGTGATTGCACTGCTTTCTACTTTCTGTCCCCGTTTAAGAGAAGGCAGACGAGGAAGATATCTTGCTTATCAGGGCTCTGCACTGGTGGGACCAAGGAGCCAGGTTTTGCTGTTGTCAGGAAGAATTCATGAAATGGGACTGCGGCTCTCCAGCTGTATTTACGGGCAGCTGCTGTGACAAAGTGAGAGGACGCCAAGGAAAATGTCCCCATGGTGTGTACCCCAGTACCTGATGTCTCCTGGGGTTGTCAGGCCGAGGAGACTAACAGCAGCAGTTGTTCCAGCTGGACTTGCTGGAGTTGGTAGACACCCGAGTGGGAGTAATGGCTTATTTTACAAGCAGAGTGGGTGCAGCTTCCAGGAGAAAGCACATGGCTGTTTATAGTAATAAACACACGCCCGTGTGCGTGTTTACAAGAAACAAAAGGTGCCTGCACTGCCCATCTACGTCTCCTGAAGGTGAGACGTGTTGGGGCAGCCCAGAGGCAACACCTGCGTTTTGGCAAGTGCTTCCTGGCAGGCAGATGCTTTTAGTCCTCTTCTGGAACTGTTTTTTTCCCTTTTTATTTTGGGGATAAAAAAAAATTGCGACTGAAACCACGTTGGTTGAGAAAACTTGAAAAAGGCCATTTCTTGCATTATTTTTTCAAATCCTATCCCTGTGGAAAGGGTCCAGCCAAGAGGGCTTTAAGCAAAGTGGGATGTTTTTCTGCTTGCACAGGAATCTTGCCTTTAAGCAGCAGCGAAGTTAATCTGGGTCAGAACAAGCTCCCCTTCCCTTGCCTTGCTGTCCTTAAAATCTCTCGGTGAAGTGCTCGTCCCTGGGAACTTTGCCGTCCATTCCAGCAGAGCTGGATTTCATTTGATGACCCTGTGAATGAATAAATAAGCACATATTCATTTATTCATTTTGCTTCCCCCTAGAGATTTCACCTAATCCCTCTGTTGGCCCGGGATGCTGCAGGAAACAAAGGGCTCTGCAAGCTGTGCCTTGTTGTTTCTAGCTGTGAAATTTACTTTTCTTTTTTCTTACACTTGGCTCCAGCACGCAGCTCAGCGTGGATTTATGTGCCCAGCTCCCTTGGCACCAGCTAAAGACCGGGGCTGTAAAACTCCAAATCTGATTGTCTTAACCATGCCGTCGCTGATGTTCTCCTGAGGGGATTTTTATTGTGATCTCCATTTTTGTCTCATTTATCGTGAAAGTGTATAATTGTAAAGGCTTTTAGTTAACAGCATCAGCTCTGAGCCTCTTAGGCGGGAGCAGGGACCCGGCAGATGTTACTCCTCTGGTCAAAGTGCTGGCAGCAGAAAGGAGACGAGGAGCTCAGTGACGTGGGCTTGTGCATGGGGTATCATCAAGCAAGCTAATCCTCGGGGTCCCTCCAGCATCTCACAGCCTCAATTTTCCTCACAATGCTCCTAGCTAATCCCTTCCCCAGCCTGGCAGACAGAGCCAAGTAGAAGACTTGGCTTCGACAGGATCGATTCCAATCGATTCCAAGGAGGGGATCTGGGTTTACACTGTCATACGTGGGAGAAGTGTCTGGATCAGCCCTGTGCAGACTGTGTCCTTGGTAAAATGAGGATTGTGGAGAGGGAGGTTCAGCCGAGGGCATAGTATTGTTGTTTGCTACCAGGAGTTTTCTCTCCCAACAGATGAGGAATGTTCCACCACTGAGCATCCCTACAAGAAGCCCTACATGGAAACTTCTCCGGCAGAAGACGATCCTTTTTACAGGTCCAGTTACCCCCAGCAGCAGGGACTGAACACTTCATACAGGACTGAATCAGCCCAGCGCCAAGCATGTATGTATGCCAGCTCCGCTCCCCCCACGGACCCCGTGCCCAGCCTGGAAGACATCAGCTGTAACACGTGGCCGAGCGTGCCATCCTACAGCAGTTGCACAGTGTCTGCCATGCAGCCGATGGACAGGTTACCCTACCAGCATTTCTCTGCCCACTTCACCTCGGGGCCGCTGATGTCCCGGCTCAGCAGCGTGGCCAACCATACCTCCCCCCAAATAGGAGATACTCATAGCATGTTTCAGCACCAAACCTCGGTTTCTCACCAACCCATCGTCCGGCAGTGTGGACCTCAAACCGGCATCCAGTCCCCCCCCAGCAGCTTACAGCCCGCAGAGTTCCTGTATTCCCACGGCGTGCCTCGAACCCTTTCGCCCCACCAGTACCACTCGGTCCACGGCGTGGGCATGGTGCCAGAGTGGAGCGAGAACAGCTAACAAGGCGGTCAGGGAAGTGCGAGAGCACTAGCCGTGGAAAAAAATAAAAATGGGAAAAGGAAAAAAAAAAATACCCTGTCGATAATAAAAGCGAGAGTATTTTGCAAGACTCCTTTAACTGAATGTTCACCGATAGCACTCGAGAGGGACAGACACTTGTTGAAACCACAGACGAAATAGTCATCGGCCTCGGTGTGACTTGCCCCCTCCTCCCTTTTTTTTTTTCTTTTGTTTCAAAAGAAAAATCAACGGATCGGCACACTTCTCCCCTGCCACGGTCCCCACCCAGTTTGTGTTGCTGCCACCGCCGGCCCCCTGCCCTCATCCCATCCCCCTTCCCTCCCTCCCAGCCTCCTGCTCTTTTTGTTCTCCAAGGGACACCAAACTCCTGCTGCCTTTCTCAACACGGTCAGAGTGCTTGAACGAAAACAACTAGGATGTTACTTTTTTTTTTTTT